GTTTAACGTAATTTTCCTTTGAGTAATGCAGTGTTTTGGGAATGTTTTGCACATATGTGTGAGGCTGTTGTTGTTCTTCACATCATATCTTTGAGGGTAGATGGTTTGAGGTTGGAGTTTTGAGTACTTGGCACACGACACCGTTCTGCATCGTCCACATGCACGCCGAGCAACTTAACTGACGTCACTTTTGAACCTGCTTCTTTTAATGGGATATTTGTGAGGGTGACTTGCTCTTTTCATGGATCTTAGAAACTTTGCACTTATGCATATTCTTAGAAGATCTCCTCAAGGAAAAAGACATAAAAAGTCTAGCTATTTTCTCTGCAGCGCTTGGCCACATTTCCATGCTGTTGAGCTGTGTTAAAGTTACGCTGAATCGCCGGTGCTTAGTATTTATCATCTGAGTTTACATTTGCCAGTTGAGAGTTGTGCGTTTTTGTCGTGTCTCTGTGACTGAATCTCTAGTTCAGCCGCAATTTTTCCAGTGTTTTGTTTTTGTTATGTTACTCTTTTGAACAGTGTGGTAAAAATGAAGGATGTTATAATGCTCACTTTGTTCTTCATTCCAGGTAGAAAATACACCAGAAATGTCTTCTCTCTTCCTTATACAGACTTATACAGAATAGTTCTGGCACTGTTCAAGTGCAATCAGTTGAGAGGAGTTCCAGTGTTCATAAATGCTCGTGTAAATGGAGATCAGAATTTCAAATGTTTCAGTTTTTAATGTTTCATTATTTTTAAATAGTTTCAGAGTCTAAATGGAATTTATCAGTTGAAACTTAGGCTCTTTTAGATTTCATTTATCCCCTAACTTTATCACTGTGCACAACTAATGAGATTAAAGATGTCGGGCAAATCAGGTGGGGAAATTTATTTTTGGAATTGACTGTCCTGTATTACCACTAGGACTTGTAAGTGGGTTGTCCTAGTATTACCTCCTGTGTAGGAATATTATCATTTTGCATTACTAACTGAGGAATAACATTAAAGTTTAATGCATGAAGCAAAGCTTAAGGCAGATGTGTTCCTTAAGTGGGTCTTTTCTGTCACATGACACTACATGTTGACTTCATTTGTTTCTTGCACTCCTGATGTTACATCTTTTCATCTGCCTTTTCCTAGTAAGTATTTAATTAATTCTCTACGGTGATGTAATTTTGTTTTCTTGCTTAGTATCTTGCTCTGTAGTGTGTGTGTTAATTCTTTGGTCTTTTTTTTGATGAAAGTATCTTCTAGCATACTGTTGTCACTGACTTACTGTTTACTGCCTGCAACCTGTAGGCCTGGGAAATATACTGAATTTGCCTCGGTAAAACTCCATATTTTTAGATGCCAGATCTGATGGTATTGCTTAGGACCTGTATTAGCTATCATGTTGTTTAAATTGTCTGCTTAATATTAGATTCTGAGTTTAGAGATCAGATTGGGATGTCGTATTCCCTGTTCCGTGCTCCCTCTAAGTGTGAGTTGTAACATAAGGGCTTCTGATCTGTAGGCTTAGTTTTGTAAAACTCAAGTGGAATCAGTGAAGAAGCTGAGCGGAGGTTACGAGTAGGCTTGTAGACAGTCAGTCTCTTCTGTTTTCTTTTTTTTTTTTTTTCCCCATGCTTAATTCTTTATTGTTCAGTTTTGCACTGCTTTTAGTTCTGATGAATATTCTGAAGTCTAAATGCTTGGCCAGACTTCTATACAATTTCATTACCATGAATTTGATTCACTTTAATTTTTGTTATTTATTAGACAAATATGATGCTAAAGAAAGTTCGAGCTCTGAAGAACTTTAAGTTAAATAGCCAGCTAATAGGAAAGGGATCCCATAACTGGTCCTGCAGTATATTTTATTACAGACAAATGTCTTATTATAAACCAGTACTGCTTAAAATCCATCAAATTATGATTCTTGGAGAATCATGACTGCTTGTTTTCATCCTTACTTCACAGCACAGGTTTGTTTGCACTTCTGCACATTTTTTCCTTCCTGTTTTCTTTCATTTTATAATTTTGTTAATGCGTAGTGAAAGGTAGTTGGTAGACTTCCAAAGCACCATTAAATTAAAAAACTTTTAACTGAGTTAGTAAAAAAGATTAGAGAAATGTCATTAAGATGTGCCATTTGGCATTTCTGGTTTTTCTCTCAGGACGAGCATCCAGCACTACCCTCAGGGTATATGTTTCTTGAGATTGGTTTTCCTTTAATCCAGCAGAGTTCTTAAAGCTTGCAGTTTGACCATCACTTACTGACTTAAGCTGTAAGTTTCTGCTGCTCTGACATGGATGCATATTTTTTTTTTCCTGTAATCTTAGAAAATGATGGCAGATGATTTAGAAAAATTTATTGAAGATCAGAAGGCCAAACTAGCACAAGATAAGGCAGAACTTGAAAATGATCCACCTTACATGGAGATGAGGGTAAGAGAATTGAATGGTTTTCCTGAATTTAAAGACATCTGCCGTTAGTCTTGAATTAAGCTTGCTTTTACCGTGCTCTTAAAATATTGTTTGTTGTTAAAGTATGTGTTAAGGATGTATGTATTCAAAGCAGTTTCTAACTTGAATATGTATTGTGTTTACATATGTATATTTTAAAGCTCTGTTTGCCTCCTAGCACACACACATTGCAATTCATACTTTATAACTTGGAAAGCTCTAGGAAATGCTTATTTGTTCTGCCTCTGCCCCCTTTAGGCAAACTGTCTACAAGGTGCTGCTCACAAAATGGGCAGTGGGAAGTAGACAGAAGGTATCAACAGCAGCATTTCAATGAAAAATAGTAACTAGGAAAGGAAGATTACTTAATGTATTAATTTCACAAAAGCTGTAGTCATCACAAGCTTTTTCTTAGAAATTTTAGCACATAAGCTATAAAGATTTTTACAATTTGCATATCACCATTAGGTTATTTAGTAGTGCAAACACATGGCAAGATGCATGTAAATTATTTAAATCGGGTAACTCTTAGCTAGTTGGGATGAATCCCTTAGAGGGGGAAAAACCTTTTTCTTTTAATATATGTTGGTTATGACTTAAAGCGCAAAAGACCTTGAGCTTTTAATAAAGCATGGATTGCAATACTTCATTTTCACTTCCTTTTTTGTTTCATCAGAACGTTATGAGCATTTATCTTTGCACTTGTGTATGTAAATATTTTTACGTATTTTTAAGAAATTTCTCTAGAAAGCTAATTCTTAAGGTGCTGGGAGAAAATGTAGGCTTCCTTTAATTTGCTACCTTTGCTCAAAGCAACTTTAGAGAAGGGGAGAATGTCTTCAGCCTGTGCTCGGATAAAGTCTTAACCTGCTTGGTGCCAGTGTAGTTACAGGGGACTTGGAACTTGCCCTACAGTTTCATGAAATTCTTTCATAGTGTCAAGCAGAGCACACCAGTCCCTGCAGAAAGCAAAGAGGATGTGTGTAAGCTGTGAAACTGGTGGAAATAGGATTTGATTTATCTCAGATGGAATATGTTGAAGTAATTCCTGGGTACTAGAGGAGCTGCTACTTTTCTGATAGTATCAGTGAAACATACACAGTTTCATATGTTAATCTCACATCCCTGTCAGTCTGTCTGGTCTAAAGTGCTAATAATTATGCTAATGTATATTGTTCTCACATGATATTTCTTTAACCTTGTGAAGCAGCAAACACTGTTTTTTCTTTTTCAGAATAAAGAATCAGAGAAGTTTTCTGAGACTAGCAGACTTTTAATTTCCATGGCTAAAGAAAATATACCTCCAAATAGTCAACAGAGCTGCCCTTTAGGTATAGTATATTTTTAATATGCCTTCTGAGTTTAAGTAGCATTTAATTACCTCAGAGAATTTTAGGAAAGGCATTAGTGCTCTGAATTTTTTATTAAAGCATTATTGTAATTCAACTGTATACTATTTCTTTATTCTCCCAAATGTCTTGGGATTGCATGGGATGTCTCTGTGGTTATGCTTATTTTCTGAGATTTGAATAAAAAAAAGCCAAACTTCATTTTCCTTGCTTATAAAGGTAGCCCTGTTAACAACAACAAAAAGTTGGCGTGCCAGTCTTTAGTAGATGATATGCCCTTTCATGATGTGTTTGGGGAGTGGAAAGCAAAAATTTTTGGAGGCCATCTTTTATTAGCACTAATAACTTCCTGAAAAAGGTTTTTCTCCATGTTTTGTGTCAGAGAAGCAAGGGAGCCTCTTGTGTCAGCCTTTTAGCGAATCTGGCCTTGCAGCTTGTCTAGAAGGAACACAGGCAATGAAACTTTTTTATTCATTTAAACTCTAAATGTCTTTAAACATTTACACATGGAGTACTAAACTCTCTGTGCTTTTGTAATAAAGACTGATATAATGTGATTATTCTTTATACAAGGAAGAACAAGCACCTTTTTTTTGATTGAAAATTTTAACCATGTTAGATTTGCTTTCCTGATGTGCTGTGATTAGACAGCTTGCTGGTTGCTTTCCTGTCAAATGCCTGTCTTGTTTTGTGTTCTCATTTTGATTTCTGTTTAAAATGTGGGCTAGTGTACCTTTGTCTGTTTTCTTTCTTCTGCAAGGTGCAGCCCTCCTAACTTGTCCTACTGTTTTCTTCCTGTAGGCATTTCTGTTTTGGTTTAAATACACTTTTGAATATGTCTCAGCAGATTTAGAGCCTTTTTTGTCCTGCTTCTTGTTGCTAGGGAACTCTTCCCTTTCATTTGTACCACGTGGTTCACACTTCCTTGGGTTTTGTACCCTATTTATTTTTCATACCGTGCTTGTTAATTCTGGTGTAATTCTGCAGCTCCCAATAGAAGTAAAAGCTCTACTTTTATTTGAAAGAAGATATGTCAACAGGCATTTACGAGAGTTTAGAAACCCTAAAAATAAATAAGCAATCTCTTAAATCAGTGCTCTTGCTACCTACAATCTGTTATGCCCTCTTTATAACTTTGACTGAATTCCTGACTAGACCAGTGCTGGTCTAGACAGAAAAAAGCCTGGGCTTATGAATCTGGGGGCCTAAACTAAGTTTAGGTCCAGAAATAAAACCTGTGTTTTAATAAAGAAGTTGTATACCTAGAACTTCTAGTAATCAGCAAGGACAGCTTTTTCTAAACCATAAGGGGAGCTTAAATTTTCAGAATAAATATCCATTTATGTATTTATATGTACTTGTCATTGAACAGAGTACTAGCAAGTTCAAATAACAATAATCAAATTAAATTTGTGGTTTCTATAGCTATAACCTACCATGGTGGCTTTGGAAATCTCTTAAGCCCTTTTTACCTCAACTTTGTTATATAAAGTAAGGCTGACTACACCTACCTGTACCTCAGTAATGCTGAAGATGAAAAGCTTGTTTTATTCCCTATAGTTTTAGCAAAGTGATAGGTTCCTATGATGCTTTAAAGATGACAAGAGGTTTACAGACACATTACGCCTGTGATCTTTCCTAGCCACTGTTAAACTGAAAAGTGAAATTTTGGCCACATTGACATGATTGGTCTGGAACCTTAAACACACAGTTATGCTTAAAAAACAAACTCCATATATTATTGGGAATTACATTCCTTAAAATGAAATTCTTGTTTTATGAGCCGTTGTCATTAGTACTAAGCTTTGTGAAATGATATAACTAAGAGCAATCTGCAGTGATACTTGAACACTGCTTGCTGGCAGAAGTCGTAATGGATAAACTTGGTAACAGGACAGCACTTGAATAAGAACATACCTCAAGTTTCCAGCCGTTTTATTGTTGATCAGCAAGTTAGTTCAGGTGTTACTTCTTTGCTTTGCTATAGAATCATACTATATAGAAAGCAGCATGTTAGGTAGTCTGCCTTTATATCCCAAAGGCTGTGGCAGATAACTTAAAATTCTTTTACTATTGAAATAGTTTCAATAATTAACAAATTATTTCAGTACGTGAAGTATAAATGTTCCTGAATAAAGTGAAAGATTACTCATGTTAATTCTGGGGGGAGGGAAGGAAGCACAGGTTTGCACCAATATGGTTCCTGCATTAAAAAGAATCAGGAGAAGTGATGAGGTCTCAGCTGTCAAGGAGCCAAGGTCCCCTGTGTCTTTCCTGGGAGTACAGGGAAAGATGAAAAACAGGAGGAAGCTCCTTACGAAGAGGTAAACAGGCTGCATAGAGTAACAAGGTCATTGCCTTCCCAATAGACGCAAATAAATAAAAATAGTGCAGTACACCACTTAGCATAACATTTGGTCAGAAATACTTTTATTGAGTAGTAGGGAGAAAGGAAGTGACACAGGATAATGTGCTTCCTCTGAATTAGGAGGTAGCAGTGTTGGAGAGCTAGAGTAGTCCATGTCCTGATGTGCGTATTACTGTAAACAGTGCTTAATGTTGCCATGTAAATACATTAACAGATAAAAAATATTACAAATGAGGGGCAAACTAGTGATCTTAAATGCAAACCTGTAAATATCCATTGCTAAAATAATGGGCTGCTGAACATCTTTGGCTATCAAAACAATGAAAAAGAAAGTATATGTTGTCTTCAGACAAAATTCAGAAAGCACAAATGCATAATTTTATGGTGAACATTACTGTGAACATACATTAATTGGAATATTTTTGCCCTGCTACAGTCACCCACAGTAAATTTTTGAAGTAAGCTTTCTAGTCTCTTCTGAATACACAGTAGTCCAAAAGTGTTATTTCATTGCTCTTCTGGTAGCAGTGCAAAAGGTCTTATGTAATAAAACTAACTTTTAAGACATCTTTTGGATACTTTGGCTATTTGAATCAAAGCATCTGATTATCGTTGATTGTGGTACTAAAAGTCACTGTGGAGTTACTGAATGAATCTTTGGTTGCTGTTGATTGTTCTCGGCTTTCTGTATATTTTTCAGTTGTAATTTTATGTGGAAATAAGAGTCAAGAGAAAGTAATGGGAGGGAGGAACCAACACCTTTTTGTTCAGTATTCTGTTTCTCTTAAAATGAATCATCTTTTGGTTTGGTTGAAATGCTGTCTTATTAAACATAACTTATTATTCTCCAGATTCTGTAGATAACAACTTGCAAGCTGGAGAAGAAGCTCCTGTGCAGTTTATGAGTATTATTTGAGCTCTGTAACCTCTGTTTCAAGACTGAATATGCCAAATTCAATATTACCTGCTGTTATTTCCTTTGATTCCCCAGAAGTATAGCAGACTGATTCCTGTTT